CTTTTTATGTGCTTGGGTTTTTTTTTGTTGTTTTTTGTTTTGTTTTGTTTTTAATGGACAGGAAGTTTTCTTTCTCTAATCAAAACTAGATAACTTAAATATTTTTCTTTGGTAATATCCTGACATTGTCCATGGATAGGGACCTCCAGAGGAAAAGATAAGTGCTAACGGCTGCTTATGTCAGCCTGTTCCCGAAAGAGAGATCATCTGTCCAGCAGACATCAGAGGAGTCTGCCTGACAGAGGAGCGTGTGCACGGAAACCAGATTGTAAGATTGGGACCTAAGTAAGATGGTAATCTTTGATTCTCAGTCATTGTCATCATTTATTCTGTTTATTTCAGTGTTTGAGATTTGATGGTGTGCCATCACTGGGAGTTTTTCTTTCTGTATGATGTTACTGGCTTATTTGAAAAACAGCAAGAAAATGCAGTGTGGGGTTTTTTTTTCACTTCTTAGGAGTTTTGATATCAGTTCTTAAGTCATCCCCAAACTGTGTTCACAAAGAGGGTTGGGAATCCAAAAAGTGGGGTTTTGACTATGGAAGTAGTTGTCTTAAGGTTACTTGCGTTTCAGGGGAGGCAGCACGGTTCATAAAGCAGATGGCACAGGGGGATTGCTCAGGGAAAGTTTAGACTTAGTAAAATCTCAGAAATCAGATTAAGTGGACAGATGGAATTCTGCATTAATATGCTAACATGGAAGGGTTGTTTTTTTTTGTGTTTTTTTTTTTTGTCTTTTATTTCACTATTTCACTTTCCCAAATTATAACCTTGGAGATGCTATTTTTTCTTTATATAGATGACAATAAATTTAGTACTAGGAAAACGGAGTTGCACTTAAGCAGCTGTTTTTACTGTAACTGGTAGTTTTGGTTTGCTCTCATTTGAAAAACAAGCTGTGATTGTTTTCAGTTTTTTCAGTGATTGCTGAGGGAAGACAGAAATACAAGGAGTTTAGGCTAGAGTTACTTGCCTGTCCATGTACAAACAGCAGCCTTGATCTTCATGGGATTTAACCCTGTATTTGCTGCATTCCCACTTACCCGCTTTTCCCACTTCCCAAAGATAGGGTTGCATGGTTTTCCAGGCTGCTCAATTTATTTAATAGCTCGATTTGTTTAATGGTGGCCCATTTCTGCCTGCAGTGCTAGGCAGGGACACACGTTCTTTTTGCCCATTCAAGGTATGTTCACTAGTGGAAATGAGCAGTGATAACAACCAGCTCGTGCGCTGGACATGAAAGACTGCTGTAAGAATACAGTGGCAGCACACGTGTGTGCTGGTGGTGGCAGATGATTGCTGGCTCTACCTGTGCATGCCCAAGTGGTACTGGGAGCCAATAGGACACCACAGGCATGACAGCTCAGGTCCAAAAGAGTCCCATTCACACCATAGTGGTCAGGAGCCAGGTGTGTTAGAGCTATAGGCATAGCCTGTTGTGAATGTAGCTGGCGTGTCTGGGGCATGGGGGTGGTCAGAGTTGTGAATTCACCAGCCTGGAATCTGTTACCTCAGCCATCTCTGCTTGGCAGCGTAGCAAAGAAGCACCAGCACTGGCCGTATGCCTCCAACTTCCAGGACCTTCCTCATCACGCTTCTGAAATGTACTGCAGAGGTTTGTTTTCATGGTAATCTTTCTTTGTAGATAGTTCTTACCTCTGTCAATGTTTTAGAGAGAGTTTTCTTCAACAGTTTCAGTTTAAAGCTTGTGGTCATTGTATTGCTGTGGGAATCAAAGTGATAACGAGGGTTCAGTGTCCATGACTTCACTGCTGCATTAGATAAGGAAAAGAAGCTACTGTATGATATTAAAAAAAACCCTTAATTTAAGCAAATGATGTACATTTTGTGTGTATGTCAGTGAAGATAATGCATGAAAAGAAAGCAGGCTGTTCAAGCTGCTAGGATTTTCTCTCAAGGAAAAAAATCTAAATAAAAGAGTAGAAGTAGCCCCAGTGATTTAGTAGCAGGACATCAGGACTTCTTCAGGCCTTCATCATTGTCATTTGGAAACAGCATTTTAGAAACTCCTGCCTTTCCTTATCAGAAAGAGGTGGTTGCAGGCTGAAGCTTGTAATAGGGAACTAGAGCACGAAAGAGAAATGAATTTCCTTCTGGAGATACTCATGGCTGGCTACCGCTCTTCATCACTTAATCAATTTTAGTCATAGTTCCTATTCTAAAATGTTATCTACAGGGAATCAAATAGGTTTGAAACTTGAGTTATTTCTAATTTTTTTCCTTGATTACTATTTAACAGAGAGAGCAGTGTTGCTCCATGGTTCCTTATGTATGGTTGTTTTAGGAAAGGCTTACTTACAGGTTACTGAGACTGGTTATGTATGATGTTCAGCTTGTCTTACTCTCTTGCTTTTCTTTTAATACATGATCCATTATTCTTAGCGACATCTGTTCTGGGGATTATTATCACAGTAGCTATCTGACTTTAGATCTCAGTGTTCCTATGGGTTCTGAAAATAAAAACTTGTATTGCTTTTTGTCTTCATGTTTGTAAATACATATAGAATTCATCAATACATAGATACACATGAATGCCTCCTTTTATTATTGTGGCTTTCATATGCATGAAATCCCACAAGTTTTTTGGTCATCAAGCAAGTTTTCTGAGGGGGCATTCTGTATATATTCACCAGTGTATGTACACTGTTTTTTCAATATATGTTGTTTTCTTTGACTATTAAATGTGAAACTGGGAACAAGTCCAGAGTCTTTAATAGCTAAAATGTATTTCATGCTGATCCCCACCAAATTGGCATCATCCACTGCCAAGTTCTAAGGCGAGGGCTGTGATGATGATGAATTTCTCTAATGGGGTTTTTGTTCTGGGCTGCCTGATATTAATACTTGTGTATTCTAGGATTTAGACAGAAGGTCTCTGCTTATTAAAGGACCCAATATCTTTATAGCTAAAATGCCCTTAGGATAGACATACTGATATTTTGAAGGGTTGTATTAGATCATGATGTCCTTTTTTAAATTTTATAGTGCTGTGTTATGTTTCTCAGCTTACTCAGCTGTGTCATGTCACTACCGAAATTCACAACCTAGCTTTTGTTGAGCTCTCCATTGTTCTTCTTGATGTGATGTCTTGCTGTTTTATATGAAAATAATTTCTTAATACCCTAATATGCAGTATTAATATAATAGAACTTTATTCCCAATACTGTTCCATAGAAATTACTGTGTTTCTGAATACATATGAAAATGAAGTCCTGTTCTCATTTCTGGGCAGAACATGAAGAAATGAGTTATGCATGGAGAGTGAACATCTCACTTGTTAGTGGCTGCATTTCCATGACACCAAAAAGAGGGATTTCACAAAATACTGTGCAGCACAACCTTGTGAGATGAAGTAAGCCGAGGGAGGAAAGTTCATGCAAGAAGATAATTTCCAAAGGTGAATGCAAGGTCAAGAGTGTAGGGAGAAAGGGAGAGAAGAGAAAAGAGATAGGCACTCATTTAGGAGAATGGGCAACCATAAAGGAAACAATCCAAGGACTGGTCTGGTTGAGGCTGTTAGAGCACTGCTGGGTCTTTTCAGTGCAGCATTGCATTTAAGTCATAGTTACTGGAGAGGCAACAGCTGCTACTTTACAGCATAAGACAGAGGAACTATTGAAGGCAGGGAAAAGTATCAATATGGAAGGTCCCTTTCTGAGGGACCATCTTGCACTAGCTTTGCTTTGTGCAGCAGAAGCTTTGTGACACAACGTGTGGTTTAATCACAGGGGTGTCTTAAAGTGGACAAATACTGTGCATCTGGAAACATTTAAACAAGCAGTTTGTTTCTGGGAAGAGGGTGCATTACTCAAGTAAAATGTAGTTCATTGTGTTGGCTTCTGACTGTATGTCTGCAATATGTATGATACTCCTGACTGGCTTAACAATCACTTTTCCACCACTTACACTCTCCAGTCGTGCATGGGGATGGCTAATTCACATGTGATGTTTGCTTGCCACTTCTAACACTAGGTGCTGCGATGTATTTACTCCTTTGGAAGCAAGGCAAGTGAACAGAGGCAGGCAAGGTGTTTCTCTCTTGCCCATTGCTAGCACTCTACATCCAACCTGTTTGTGCCCTGTTTTGAGGATAACGACCTGATCCTTTAGGGTTTCACTGCCCTGGTTAGGCTTCAGCAGAGAAGCACAGTACCAGCTGGAAGGTTCAAAATCTCTGACTGTATCACAGCCTGCATTCCCCTGAGCCCTTCTCACTCCTCATGACTGCCTGATTATAGAATCTTAGAATGGCCTTGGTTGGAAAGGACCACAGTGATCATCCAGTTCAATCCCCTGCTATTTGCAGGGTCACCAACCACCAGACCAGGCTGCCCAGAGCCACATCCAGCCTGGCCTTGAATGCCTCCAGGGATGGGGCATCCACAACCTCCTTGGGCAACCTGTTCCAGTGCTTCACCACCCTCTGTGTGTTCTTTTGCTGGCCAGAGAGATTTGTCTCTAGGGAGGAGTGTAAGAGTACAACTCACTTCCCAGCTGTGTCCTCTCCCCATCCCAGGTGGGCTGCTCATCTCTGGGGAGTGGGCAGGCTGGAGCAGAGGCACAGCGGGGCAAGGTCCTGTGCTCAGTATGATGTTAGGCAGCATGTGTGTTTAGTTAGGATGCTACCATGAGTCTGACATGTGATTCATCAGCTGAGTATTGCCAGCTACAGGGGATATGCTGCCAACTGAGTATGGGTAATAGGTGCAACATACATGTCTTAAAAGGTAGGATTAGCAGTAGGGCAGTAATTTAGGGCCACAGCACATGGTCAGCCTCAGGACTGCAGAACCTCTAAAGAGCAGCTGCCTGAATTGGAGAGTTGCAGGCCAGGAAGAGAGGCCATACTGTCACCAAAGTTTTAGAGGTTAGCAGTTAACTTCATGTCTTGGTGGCTGTTGCTGTGATAGCATGTTCTAAGTTTTGCTTCCTGCAGAAGCTGCTCTGATTATGATCACTATGATTGTTTGTCATTACAGAAGTAACGCTGAAAGTCCACGTGAGCGATGCCAGCACACATCAGCCAGTAACGGAAGCCTTCATTGAGGTTTTTACCAACCAGATCTCCATTGCATCTGGAACCTCAGGAGCAGATGGCACTGCCTTCCTCAAGTTTCAGTATAAATTGGGCAATCAGCTGATAGTGACTGCTAGTAAACATGCCTATGTGCCAAATTCTGCACCATGGAAACCTGTAAGATTGCCTGGTAAGAGATCTTTATTTTTGTTCTGAGGTAAGATTTTGCATCTAAAGGAAGTTATAATTTTGTATGATGTATTTTAATGCTTGCAGTCCTGGGTGGTAGGAAGAATATCTGTGAGTTGCAGAAATGGGAGGTTCTTTCCTCAGCTAAGCTGTGGCATCAGGACTGTGCAGAGATCCACACTCCTCCTACCTTTCCTTGATATGTCAGTTTTCAAACAACTGTTGATGCTCTTACAGCTCCACAGAGCATATGAATCTACTCCAGATCTTTTTCCTTATAGGAACTGTGTTTTTTGGTGCTCTGTTTCAACAGCTGTGATGTACTAGTTCTTTTATCTCCCAAGGTGTAGCAACAACTGTTGTGCTGCAAGCTGTAGTTTACAAAACAGCCCTGGACTTTCAGCTCTTGGCCATGTCCCATAGGAAATCTTTCTAACATAATTAACATGATTAATTTCATCAGCAGACAAATATAATAATAATAATACTTAAATGATATTTCTTGTCCAAATGGCTCAAAATTTTGTCCATCTCTAAGGATATTCAGGACTCAACTGGACAACCCAAAGCATGGTTAAAGCAGGTGACTTCCAGAGATCCATTCCAACCTTATTCTATTTAGAAACTTTCTTAATGTTATTTTTTTTCTCCTGTTTAAATAAGATGAAGTGCAGCTTCCTGGTGTATTTAACATACTCCTTAACACACAATCATACATGGCTAGAACATGCTGTAACCTTTTCTGGTCTCTTGTCTCATATCTTTACCACTCACACCATAGGTCTTTCAAACACAGCATATGCTTCCTGGGCCTGGAATTTGTTGATTAGGTTTTTTTGCTTGTTGCTTTTTCTTAAATATTGATTTTGAGGGAAGGGATTCAAGCATGGTATTGTTTTGGTAAGTCATTGAAGATTAAAGAGCTGTAGTTATATACAGTTTCCACAAAATCTTTATTTCTACAGCTGAAATCTGAGCTTTACTCAGAAAATAGATTCCTTTCACCTTTATCTTCCCCCATTGAAATTGGCGGATCGTTTGCCATTGATTTAATTGGGAGTAGAATCCTTTCTGTACCCTAAACTTAATCCTTCCTTTGATTAAAGAAACAACAAGTTACAACTTGATACCCCTCATGTTGATTTAATGGGTTTGTTCTTGGAAATGTGACATAGAAGTTCAAACCCTAAATACTTAGGCTATTATTTTTTATACTGTAAAGCTTCAAAGTCTGTGGTGTTTAACAAACTTACTATTTATATTTAAATGCCCTCCTATTATGCTTGTAAGTAGCGTAGCATAGTTTTGAAAATGGAAAATTTTGTTTTTAGTGGTTTTAATCTGGGTTCAGTGATGGGGAACAGTCAGCATATTTAAATCTTGATTCTGCAGTGTACATCCTAGGTACACACTTACAGCAGGGTTTTCATTTCCTGAAAAAAACAGTACTTGTAGTCATCGTCCCACAGACCAGATATGCCATTCTGAGCAGCGTTCCACACACACCAGTGGTTTAAGCTCATGTGCCATCCTGTATGCGATGGTGAATTAAATATACAGGGATTTATTTGCACCACTTCAATGTGGAAATGATAACCACAAGCCGGGAGTAGCTTTGAAGGCTGCAGGGTGATAATGTTTAAAGCACTGCAATAGGACTTTTTTTGAGGGATCACAATTCTTCCATCATAGGCAATATACATTAATTATGATTTTATACTGGAAGACTGTGCAGCCACTGATCTCATGGTAACTTTAAGAACCTAATGTCAAGGATTGTCCTCTTAGTTCAGCAGGAATAAACTTTTCTCATATTAACCAAAATAATTACTAGCTCTTTACCACTTAAGAAGGAGGATTATTTATTTACGTAATGATAAATGGTAGAAAGAAAAGATTAAGATCTCTTTTTCCATTAAACTATTTATCAGCAGAGCCATGACTCCGCTTATTAACAGTTCATTAATTTAACATCACTTGAGTTGTTGAAGTGTTCATGATGGAAGATGTGCTCCTCTATTTCTTCTTGCTTATACATAGATTTTTCTTTATAAATAATTTGAAAGAAAATAAAATTGCAACTAGTAGTCCATATTTAAGCAGATTTTTGGGGGAAATTACTGAGCTATCCCAATTCAGACTAGTGGTAGTGTCACCCAACACATACCATGGGAAAAACTAGTCCTAGGATCAGAGAATGCTTGCCATGCTTGTGAGGGAGGAGACCTCATCTGGGAAGTGGTAGCTGTGCAGAAGATATGTAAGAGATGTAGTAGATGCATGGTTGACAATAAGCTTCTGATATAGCACTGCAAGAAGAGAGAGTAATCTGTAAAATAAAGAGAAATAAAGACCAGGAAGATGGGGTATACTGTTTCAGCATTTTCTCTTGGTGGAGCCTCTCTGGTAAATGCACATCTAATTCTGGATCCACAATTCAAGAGGAATGTTTAAAATTGCAGAGGTATATCAAGAATGATTTAGGATTGAAAAATATGGCATATAGGGAAAGACTTATACAGGCTTGATTTATTTGGTTCAGCATAGGAAAAGTCCTGAGGTGATTTTTCATAGTCCATCAGCACCTGCACGGAGAAAAGGAGGTGTGTAAGAAAAGTCTTTCATCCAGCAGAACTTGATTGAGAAGATGTTCAATACATTTTATTAGGTAAAAAGACACACAGTTTAACAGCTATTGTAATTAGTGCTAGAATGCTGGTGCTGTGGTGTATTTTTCGCCACTGGACACTTTAGAAAAAGACTGATAAACTGAAAAACATATTGTAGAAAAGCTAAGTGCAGCTATTAGATCTGAAGCAGTATTAATTCAGGAATTAATTAATTAATTAATTAACAGGAAAGGCTGTTATTACATAGGAGTAAGAGTGGATCATCACAGTGGTCCTTCTGGCCTTAAAAACAATGATTTCCTATCTTTGTCATGCTGAAAAAAGATTGGGCAGAAGAACCCATGGGAAGTTTAGGAATTATCTATGCATTATAATGGGGTACATACATAAAAAAAAATGGGGTTGGTGTGGTTTATTGTATCCCCAGGGTGTCTAAGTTTTATTAGCGTTCTTCATGCGAATTAAGCTACTGAAGTAAAGACAAACAAATTTTGTACTTGTGACCATGGTGCTACTTACAGTAGGCATCCTTACTTATGTTGCATAGATGTTTCACATGCAGAGCATTTGAAAGAAAATTCTCAGCTGTAATTGCAATAGCAGTGTGGCCTCTCTTTTGTTTCTAACACCTATGCTAGAATAGCTCAGGTGGAAGGGCCCTACTCATACCAGAGTCCATCTGCATAGTAACTTGAGGGCTAACCAGAAGGTATTAATGAGGGCATCATGAATGCCTCTTGAGCACTGACAGGCATGGGGCACCAGCTGCCATGCTAGGAAGCCTGTTCCAGTGCTTGAGCACCCGAACCGTGAAGAAATTGTTCCCAGTGTCCGGTCTGAACCTCCTGTGGCACGGCTTACTGCCAGAGCTGCAGATAGCGATGAGATCATCCCAGCCTGATCAACCCAAGTGCCCAGAGCCCCTCCTCACAGCCCAGGCCTTCCAGCCCTGTTACCCACTTTGTTGCCCTCCTCTGGACACTTTTAAGGGCTTTAACATCCTTTTTATATTATACTGTGGAGCCTAGAACTGCACGCAGAATTCAAGATGAGGCCACACCAATGCTAAATGCAGTAGGATGATCACCTCTTTTAACCAACTGGCTGTGCTGTGTTCAGTGTAACCCAAGATGTGATTTGCCCCTTGGCTGCCAGGACACGCTGCTGGCTCATGCTGAGCTGCTCTCCTGCCACTCAGCTTCTATCTGTGCCTGTGTCCAGCATTGCTCCATCCTGCACAGCACCTAGCATTTATCCTTGCTAAATTTCATGCCATTGGTGATTGCCTGCATGGTCTCTGGTATGAAGGCAGGCATGTTCACTGCGGGGAAATTTTAAAACCACATGACAGTCTGAAGAACTTGTGCTGTTCATCTGTTCATCAGTTCTGGAAACGTTTTCATGAGCTTGTGGTCACCTCAGCATGGAACAAGCACTTCCCGGATAAAAGTATGGGATAGTGCCCAGGTATCAAAAATGACTAGTCTGTATTCATTTCCTCCTGTCTTTCTATCTTTGAAAGCCAAGCATGAAGCACAGTAAGCTCTAATTCTTACTGTATTCATAGTTACATGTTTTTATGGGTGCAGGAATCAGACGTTGTCAGTGGCCAAGTCTGTGTGTAATTAAGGTCTGCTGGGTTTGGAAAGTTTGGAATGAATTTGTTTGTTAATTTTCACTCTCTGGGCATGTATGCATATATTCCCTCCCAACGCACCAGCACCCACCCACCCTCCTTCTAAGGAATCCAATGGCATGCAGATTTCTTGCAGCAAATGCCATTTAACTATCCCTTTTCATACCACCTGATGGAATTACACTGATTCTGTTATATGTAGAGGTTCCGTACTGTAGGCAGTGACTCAATATGGACATGCTGTATTTTAGAGCCAGTTATTCAGACTTACTCACCATACGTTGCATTTCCTTATGACTTTTTATGTAAGTGTCTCAAAGTATTTATAAGTTAAGTTTCATTAAAATTTTTCTTATGTAAGATGTATACAATTTCACAGAAAAATTAATTCAGTCAGACTCAGTGTTTCACTCATCTTTATGTAATGACAAGTCTTTTTGTGGAGCTGGGAATATAACCTGAAACCGTGCTTTCCACTGTACCCTTCTGTACTTTGAGCTGCCATGCATGACTTTATTTAGATTGGTAAATGCACATGGTTTCTCTCACATATATAATGTGATTTTAGTTTCGGTTGCCTGTTTTTGCAAAATAAAATTGTGTGTTCTGTTGTTCTCAAGTTTTGTTTGTGAGATATATCTCACTTAAACGACTTCTCTTCCACAGTCTTCTCTTCACTGAGTCTTGGCCTTCTTCCTGAACGCTCAGCTACTCTAATGGTCTATGATGATGTAGTCCAGATAGTCTCAGGATTTCAAGGTATGCTGATTTTTGGAAGATGTAATTGAAACTTAAATGATATTTCAAACAAAAAAGATGCCAGTCTGGTACTTTTAGAACTATAGTGTGGGTGAGACTAGTATTTTATGTGGAATTGTTATGAGTTCCCTGAGGAGTGTTTCTCTCTGGGGTGATTTTACTGAATCGATTAATTGGAAAAGTCATCCCTAATTGCTGTGACTAGGGAATTCAAGATAGTTGGTAATAAACAGGCTTGAACTTCAGTGTGCCATTTGAGAACTAGAGATTAAATTTCTTTTGTTATCTAGTAGATGTTAGATCATCTAACTTCATCTAATCATCCTTGCAGTAAACATTTTCTGGTGTTCTTATTGCCTAAGAATTTTCTCTGATTTTAATTTTTCTTGTCCCCGGCTGTGAGTGCTAGAGGCATAGAGAAGCTGGAAATACCTCACATGTGTGTTGCTAATATATAAGCTTGCTTTCCTTAATTACTTCCTGTGAATCCCTTAGCAGACTGACTGCAACCCCACATATTACAGTGAAACCACTGTATTAGTAGAATAAAACCTGGATCCCCTTTCCATAAGGCCAAACACAGAAGAAACTGTAGGTACTATCAGTCAGTTGAGCACAGTGCAACTTCTGAATTACACAGTAAGTCACCAACATGTTCATCTAGTCCATCAGTCCATCCCTTAGCACAACTGACCTGATATGCTGAGTTAAGTCTCAAAAAGTTAACTCAGTTGACTCTGAGTTAAGTTAACAAAAGAACAGAACTTTTTGAAGATACGTTAATGAGACAAAACAAAGGGACATGCTTCCTGTGAGCACTGCTAATTGGGCATAAACTGTCTTATTCACATGGATTAAGAGTACTATAATGTTAAACTCTAGCAGATAGTTAATAAACAGGGGAATAGTACCTTCAGTAATACTAAGAGATAACCTTATTTTATAGCTAAGGCAGTATAATACAATTATGACTTCCTAATATCTATTTTTAGGATAAAACCCATCCAGATACATTGGGCTTTTCATTAATGAGAGCACTAAATATGACGGAAGTTGAAAAAGCACCAAACAAAATTACATAGCTGTTGGAATGCTCAGGAAGGGCTAGAGAGCAATACAGCTGTGGTGCATATATTCTGCTGCTTGAGAGGTGACATTAAATAATGGAATAAATTAGATGGACAGTGGGCCATGTTAAATCATAAGGGATTCCACTGGGCAAACCATAAAATATTGTTTGCTAACAGTATTCTAACAAGATTAAGTAAATACTCAATCCTCATGCACATAATATTACACAGCTAATATTACACAGCACACTTAAAAGAAAAATATTCATTTTTACAATCTCCTTTCTTAAAAGAAACAAAAAGTTAGGCACAAAAACCAAGCAGGGACATGTAAGGGCTAGAGGGACATTTACCAGCCAAGTGAGGCTCTTAAATATTTTCCTTGTAATCTTGCTTCCTTCCGTGAGTTGATTTAAGACATGTTTAAATAAGAATAATATAACTGATTATGATGGTGTAACAGGGAAAGAAAATAAAGAAAATATTACCCAGAGTATTCTAAGAATTGGAATTTCAACTCCCCTTTCTACACAGTAAAAACTATTTCATGGTACCAACCCACACTCCTTTTCTTGGGAATTGTCTTGTGATGAAACCTAGATGAAAGGCAGCTTGGACATTGTACCAGCGTTTGAATGAAGCCTCTCTAATCTTGATCCAAAATCCTTGTGACCTAGTTTTTCTCTATAACTTCTCCAATTTATTTCCCAGTTATTTCAAGCTGCTGCAAAAGAGTTGATCAGGAGTCACCTTAGTGCAGAAAAGAGAGCAAAGCAGAACTTATTATACTAGGAACAGAGTGGGAACACTGGTGTTTGAAGCACCAATCAAAGGAAAAGAAAGGCATGTCTAGTACAGTAAGTTACTGGTTGTTTTTGAATAATTAATCAAGTAAGCAACTTATTATGCAATTGAGAAGCTTGTGTTGATGCAGCCAACCTCATTTTCATGATGGCCTTACAATTCTCTGCAGCATCCTGTCTGTAATTGCAGGAGATAGAGCTTGCCAGCCCTGGGTCATTTAAGTCATTTAATACCAGAAGAGTGAAGAGCTGAACTTCTGCATTCAGCGTGTGGGAACTATATTGCTACCCTCTATCTGTCTCTGACATATGAGCAATCAGGGCATTAATTGATTGTATATCAGATATTATTTCACATAGACTGAAGCTCAGCTGCCAGTGTGTGCCACGTGTCACACATCCTGCATGGCAGGGGATGCCTTATAGGAGCTCCTTGAGATGTGCACTGGAAAATGGGAAATGGCAGCTTTAAAATCATGGTTAACGTGTTGGCAAGTGGATGTCTAAAGCAGATGTGATCAGTGCTCAGAGTCCTATCTCTTATGGCACTCACTGAGTGGAGGGATCTCACATGGCATTTTTGTAGTGAAGTCTATTTGGGTGTGATTTTGTTTTTGTAAGTCAAAACTAGACATCTTTAATAATAAAAGCTGTAATATTGACCTGTTCCCCATGGTAAGCACTGACCTGCTGAAAAATACTGTTAAAGAATCTGGTTAGCGTAAATGTGTTTTACCATTTCTAATTCCTTCAACAAATCTATTCCCAGTCATAAGCCCTAATGTGCCCTATGACCTCTGCTAAAGAGTGCATTGGTGTGTCTTCTAGCAGTGTAGAGAGAGATGCCAGCTAGGGGGCTGGGGCAGTGTGCTGGAGGCATAGCATTATGCTGGATGGGAAAGCAGTGTTCCCGGGGTAAAGAAAGCCCAGCTTGGGTAGTCTTCACTGTTGTACCTAGATCTCTGAACACCTACTAATGCATTAACCATCTGGGAGGCACTGAGAGGTGAATATCTTTGTTCCTATTTTTAGAGAAAGGAAGAGCAAGATGCAGAGGATGAGCAGCTTGTCTGACGTCCCAGACTTGGCCTCGTAGAAGGGAACCAGATTCCTTGGGGCATTTCAATATCAAACAGCTTGTTAATCTAGGATGTGAATTAAGTAGTTATTCTGCACTAATTCTTTGTATCTATAAGCACAGACTATCTACACAGGAAGCCATTTCTGAGTAGCTTACACCTTAGAATTTACATCCAAATTCAGTGTTGTGCAAATTTCCTGTCAGGTTTGGGACTTAGCCATGAACATTTTGCATTGTCTGTAGAATTGAAGAAATAGAGGCTTGCTTCACCCTGGGAGCTTTTTGCTGTCCCAGTGCTACAAAATAATCGTTTTTAAATAGAGAACTCCAAAGCCTGCCCATTAATTACTGCGTTTATAGATTGAACAACGGTTATTTTCTTTTTAATGCTTAATTACTTGTATCTTCAGAAATACAATGCCAGTTTTTGGCAACTCAGTTTTTCTTAATCAGATATTTAGACAGCAGAAAATCTTAAAATTTTACATGGAACAGATAACAGTAATATTCTTTTCTTTGTTGTATTTTTTTTTCTCTTTTGTTACTATGGATGCTTATCAGTATGGGGCTTATGAACCTGCACAGCAGTGTGGTCAGTGATCTCTGAGTTTGAACAATTATGTCCCTTAGTACAGCAAACTGTTATGATATTATAAAGCAGGAGGGAGATGAGTCTTCCCTGAGTTGACTTTAGTCAATTCATTTAGAGTGTTGTCATTTTCCATTTAAACCTAGACATTGACTAAGAGAGATTTCTTCCCACTTCACTGGTGTGTTTTTCAATGACTATCTTAAATGTTTAAGAATACTGCTAGTCTTAAGATCCCTCTGTAAATACTCCCAAGTTTCAGATTTTTTTAAAAAATATTTTACAGCTTATTCTTTCAGAATTACCAAAGAAATGACAGAAATAATGATCACCTGTTTGATATACTTGCTTGCCAACTAGACTTTTTTTTGTTGGTGGTGCAAAGTTTGATCTCTGTCTTATAGCTCGAGCTCCTGCTGGAAGACAATTCAAGAAAAGATGCCAGTCACTTGGATGATGACATTGGTAGTTGTAAATTTCAGGAGTTGAGTCAAACTCTTTAATCTTTGTCTCAGTGAAGTTATACAAAGGTCAAAGCTGCAATCTCAGACTAATAGGAGAAAAGAAGTAAAACTGTTTTGAGTTGACGTATTTGAACCACATTGTCAAATGCAAAGAGAGGGGGAAAAACATGTTAGCCTTTTGATTTTGTGCTTTGGGGAAGTGTTCTTTGAGTGTTCAAAGTGAGCTCTGGAGAACACAATAGCTTCTGATTTAAAAACTAATTTGCATGAAGCACACAGAAATTTGCAGATGAAGTCTTGCTGTGTGTTGCTGAACAGTATTAATGGTAAGCATCCATTGGAAAATCCATTGACTTTGTAACCCAGGATTCAAATGAGACTTAAAATGAACTAGTACACGAAACAGTCCTAAATTCTATTACAGTGAAGACCCCCAGTTAATAGCTAGCAACCTTGGAAAAACTGCTAAAACTGTACCAGAAGAAGGAAAAATGAGGAATTACATACTAAGTAATCTCTCTGTGTTTATATGTGTTCATTGCATGGGAAGGTATGGAAACTGTTTTCACCCAGGCTTTGTCAAGACATTGTTTTTATCCAGTGGCTTAAATAAAAAGTGACTGTTATCTAGTACAGAGCCAAAGCTATGCAAAACCAAAGTGCAGAAGTTATGTAAGTTAATTGGGACTGCAAGTAGAATTGTCGTTTCATAGAACTTCACTTCAAAGAGCGTAAATTTATCTTGCTACTTCAAAGGAGACAAAACATAAACAAAAATGGTGAACTGGATACTTCTCTGAGCTTTCACACGTGTCACCTCAAATTTTGTTTTCGTTTCAGTGGCATTCATTAAAAGAAGCATGAAATTTGAGGTGATCTGAGGAAATCTGCCTGAACGGTTTTACTCAGAGATGCTTCTAGGAAAACAGTGGCAATTGCAAAATAAACACAAAAGTATTGGTTTTCCTCCATGTACGCTATAGCTTTCAGATGTCTGTCTTTCTCAAGCAATTTCTACTTTAAAAGAAACAACCTCTTAATGTGCTTCCATAAATATGTACTCCTAAATTTTCTGCCTACCTTGGATATAATGTCATTTTCAACTTTTTTTAGGTGCACGGACTCAGCCACAAGTTCACTTTCAGAGAAGATCAGTGAAATTACCAGAGAACACCAGCTATAGTGATTTGACAGCATATCTGACCGCAGCCAGTTCACCCTGGGAAGTGGACAGTTTCCCTTACTTGCAGGGATTGGATGGAAATGGAACAGGTAACCCATCACTTTGGTTTTTCTCTGATTTCATATTGGTCCAGGAACCAACTAGCTTTTGACCATGTAATTTTTTCCATCCCATTACAATTAACATTCTTTAAAATTTGGATGGCATTATTGGTTCAACTGCTCGGTCAAAATGCTGTTCTAATGAGGAGTTTTGATGTAACACAATTCATGTGGTGTTGACATCAGCTGTTTTTTGTGCTGATAATCATAGTTGTAGGAATCAGTGTTTAAATTAACGCAGAGAGCAAGGTCCCTCCTAAATGGAAGGACTGAATAACACAGAGAAAGATTCTCAACCTTGGAAGGACAGAGAAGTTTGTTACACTTGTAGTTTTGAGCTAAGTCTCCAAATCTGTCATATTGCATTTGCACATATGAAAATAGATTAATGTGAAGGAGAAAAAGAGAATATTTATATTGAGGACGTGATAACATTTCTTGTTCAATCACTATATGAAAAGAGCTAAAAATCCTAATTATCAAGGATTTCATAATGTTGTTTCAGCTAAGAGTTGTTCCATTGTCTTTTAAATTACCTTTGAATCTAGCTTTGGCCAAAAACAGCCAATTCTTGTAGCACCAAAGGAAAAGTATAAACTGTATTAAATTCAGAGCCACAAGACATTTTTTGTGATTGCAACTGCTTGTAATTCTTCTTGCACTTCTCAGTTAGTTTTGGCTGTAATAATTGGTGTTGTGTAGGCTAAAGAAAAACAGATGAATTGGGCATAGAAGGCTTGAAATGCTTCAACTGCTGTAAAAGGAAGAACTGTGTGTTCTCTGTGGCTGTATTGGTTTAGAAAGAGATTAATAGACTTCCAGTGCAGCAAAAGCAATTGAGATGAGGAAAACCTTGCTGTGGTGTGGGTTGTTTAAACTCTAGAATCAAATGCTTGAGGCTGTTGGACTGAGTTAGACAATCACCTGTCAGGATGGCATAGGCATAGCAGAGCCTGCTTTGAAGCAGGCTAAATAGCCCCTTGAGGTCCCTCCCTACTGTTTCTCAGGATACGTTTACTTGTGATGTTTTGATCTAGGTGACTTTGAATGCTAGGTCACGCGAGTAAAGGGTGTGTGACTGAGCTTTCTAGTGTTCCCTCAGGGTGGAAAGAAATAAAAAATAAAAAATAAAAAATAAACTTCCCCTTCCCTTTGTACATATCTGAATATCTCATTTTCTATTACAATTAGAAATGTGTCTGCTACCTTATTCCAATCCTTCTGTCTGCTTCAGTGAGTACATCTCATCCTGTCCCTTCACCTGTCATTTCCTCATTCTCATCTTCAACCTTCTGTTTTCTCTGGCTGTCTGTATTCAGACATCTTCTTGTATCTCTTATCTCTTTCTAAAAGGAGGGGACGTATTTATCACGTTCATCTCTCTGTCTACTTCCTCACCTTTCCTTTTATCTCTAAACCCACTGAGCAGACTGTTGGATAGTGTGTGGAGAATTCCTCTCTCCCAATTCTTTTCTCAGTGCTATGCAGACCAGCTTCCCACGCATTTATTTGGTGACATTTTGGCATGACCAATTTTTGCAGGAGCTGCACAACCAGAGCATCATCTTTCCTCCTGTTTTAACCACCTGGCCTCCTACAAAACAGCTTAATGCACCCTTTTTAGTTGTCTGTATATACAGACTATGAAGGGATCTTTCTTTTTGAGCATGGATGCCTTTAATTTGACCTTTATTAACCTTCAGTTAAAATTATGTGCCAAAAGACCAAAATGAGTGGCAAATAAATGGGTTCTAATAAACTGTAAAGAGCCTTGTCTTCTGAATGCTGTAGCATCTACTATGGAATAGTATAAACTATGAATATATTCATATGTGCACAATAGTGTAGATAGCCTACTTTTAGTAGGAGTTTCTCTAGCTGTGAGAACATTAAACTACAAAGTCCTCACCTTGGATTGACTTCCTTTTCTTCATCTCTGAGTGACATGGTAAAGATGTCACCTGAAAAACTTTCGAAGGAATAAAAGATGAGATGTTGGGGATTTAAAATTTTCTGTTCCAAAGGAGGAAGAAAAATACAAAAAACTGTAGAATTCCTAACCAACTTTGCTGAATGCTGCCCCTCTACCTAATGGTTTGTTATTATGTTCTATCACAGTTTCTTTGTACGTCTGTAGACTTTGAAAGAGGTTCTCTCATTTGTTTAAATCAGCTCAGTTCTCTGGCTGGTATTTATCCAGAGTGACTTTACAGTTGCTCTAACTAAAACATTTTGTCTGAGTTCAGCAGTTTTTTACAAAATCCTAAATGGATGTTGAGGTAGTAACATGGGCCAGTAAAAATTCATTGCATGACCAAGCATGTTCCAAACATGATGTTCAAACATTTTGCTGAAAGTAGTGATCAGTCCATATAGTGCTAGCTTGTTTTCTGTAGTATTCACTGGCTGGAGAACAGTAGGATGGTTTCACAAAATATCCTTTTGACCAGGCTGGGTGAAAACTTGCATGCAACAACGGACAAAGCTGGCTAATTATCATTTCTCCTGCTGGGTTTGTAGGGTGTCACGTCTGAGTCACAGTGGATTTTCCTCTGATGTTTTTCAGAGCTCTTTACAGGTCACCAGAAGTCAAAAATGGCAACAAATAAATGAAAGCTGACATTTATTGAAGTCCATTCCCATTTAATCTGTGCATGTCCTCATCAGTTTTACAGCATGTGAGAGTTTCATAAGCATTGATTTTAATTTACCTTCACAATGGAAAGGGGACAAATTCATCTTTTTAATGGACGTTTACGTAGCGTACAGGATGGCAAACTGAAGGATTTTTTTTCTACTTGCCAAAGATCCCTGGATTTCAGAAACTTCATGTCCTAATGTAACTTCAGCCCAGTACAGAGCAAAGGCTCAGTGCTCCTTAAGTAAAAAAGATGCAAGCAGTGTTTCATCACCAGGATGCATTTCTGGGGCTGGATATTCATATTAGGCAGGTATGCTTTATCAAGAGAGGAATGAAAGCAGAATTCAAAGCTTTCCTTATCTAAAAATAAATACAGTATAAAATATAACCTAGTTTTAGTTTTATCTAAAGGTTTCTAAATCTAAAGTTACACTTTTGTCTCTAGGAATCTGTGTAAGCTAGAAAGTGACCAAGAATTAGCAAGAGGAATTTATTTCTTTGATACTGCCTGAGAAGCTCAGTGACCCAAGTGCAGTGACTTGGGGGCAGGCATCAGTGGGACAGCAGTTACAGGTACACAGGGAGGCAGTGGATTAAATAACTGAATAAAGGAACAACTTTTCCCACCAATTCCCTCTTCTCTGCTTCGTGTTGTATGGCTGTAGAGGTGTGATACCATGCACTGTTGGAGCTCATAATATCCATTCTTGGGCAGGCTGGCATCTTTCCCCTGTCCTGTATTTGAATTCTCAGACCTTATTTTGTATTTTTTTCTGTTACCTCTGTGGTTCTCTTATATGGCCATCTTCGTGCACCTGTTTTCTCAGGTGGCAGTTCAGGCCCTCTGGAAGCAGTCCTCCTGCTCCTCAGTTTATAGGAGATCAAAGCAGACCTGTGCACTTGGGTCTGCTTCCAAACCTCCTTGGCCTGTTGGCTGTGGAATGCTGTCCTTGAAATGTGGGAAAGATGTGTCAGAGTAGATGCTGTAGTAAATAAGCCACAGGCAGAGTTACTTACTTATGGTTATTTCCCATGTCTTGAGCTTGGTGTCTCTAGAATAATTCAAAGAATTTAAAATTTTGGGGGGTTTTGAATTCTGTCTTTTTTTCTTTTTGCCACCTCCACTCTTTCTGCCCTTTGCTGGTGGTGTCTTAACTTCGTTGAGCTGGCTGTCACTGGGGACATCCAGTTTGGGTAGGGGCCATTTCTACAAGCCGTCTGTTACGAGGTCTTGTAAATGTCTTACTGCTTTCCCACTGGTGTCTAGAATGTGTTTGGCCTGATGAGGACTGGCACTGAGATGCTGTATGTTCCTGAGGACCCCTTGTTATGACTTGGTGTAGCTGATGGACAGATGAGTGTTGGGCAAAAATGTGCTTTTACAGGCAGTTTACTGGCATAAAGTGGCAGGGTTACAGGCAGGGTGTAATCTCTCGCTGTCAACCAAACGCCCCCATTCCTTTCCTTACCTGCAGACGAAGATTAGCCCTGTGCCAGGATCAGCAGCTGCACAACCAAAGTGTGCAGCACTTGCGGGCAGGCAGCAGCTTTAGCAGCAGTGTGAGCTCAAATGGGCTCAAGCCCTTGTAGAACTGAACGGTCTGTGTCTTTGCTGCTATTGCTTTGAGCTCCAGATCTTGGATAAACAGTACCAGAAACCTTTTTTCCCCTGAATACATACATACATCTTCCTTATTTTTTTCCTGTCATTGATTCATTTGGTTACATACCTGCAGGGTTATAATATTTCTTTAAATCATGTGTGGGGAAGTAATTTCCACTGGCATACAGTTGAAACATAAAGAATAATTATTATCTTGTATACATAGAGTAATGTCCTAATAATCCATTTATCTTGGTTTATCTCAGTGGAAGCCCAGACAAAATATATTGTGGCATTCTTAAACACGAGCAATCATGTTTGCAGTGTCCTTGCATACATGAGTGTTGTAATGTAGGTTTATACAAATAAGGTGCTGAGATTTTTTTTTTCCTGTAATTGTGTCTGTGATGCTTGTATTTATTATTTTACAGCAAATGAAGATTCAAAAGTATATTCAGGAGGTTTTGCGTTGTGATTTTTTAATCTTCTGTATTTTTCACTTGATATTGGAAAATTCTGAAGTATATGCATCTTGTTGGTTCTGAGTTTTGTAATGTGGGGAAGATTAATGCTACTTTCCCTTGAGAAATGTATCAATTTGGTGCTGTGGTGCTGAGCCAAATGGATATGTCTTAAACTTTGGAAAAGTCTGTAGTCATAATTTTCGTTCATTCTCTTGGTACAGGAAACAGCACTAGGTATGACCTCACCCCTGTCGCTGCAGTCAGCGTCCATCTTCTCAGCAGTGATGGTACTCCAGTCCCAGTGAATGGCCCCATCTACGTAACAGTGCCTCTGCCAACAAACAGCAACTTGAAGCACAATGCACACGTTCCAGCCTGGAGGTTTGACCAAAAATTTGGTAGGTCACATTTAATTATGATTCCCTAGAAGGCTTCATTTATCTGAAACTAATGTCTCACTAACATTTGTTGTCTTATGTTATGTTACATAGTAAAGTCTTCACTGGAGTGTACAAAAAGTATGCTTTCTGTCTAAAAGAAGAGAAGATGGAGTTGTTTTATTCAAGCAATATGTAGTATTTGTGCAAATGTACTTGAGTAGCATTCTGTGCCACTTCTTGACAAAAAAATTCATAAACGTAGCATTTTGAAATTATTAAATGTTTTAGAGAGACTTGATTTCAAGCAGACACTGAGAAACAGAGAACTATATCAGCTGCAGTATTGAACTGGAAGTCTGGAGAAATGGAAACTAGTCTTATCTTTGCCACCAGTCAGCTATTTGACCTTTGGTCCATCTCTTGTTTTGTCACTCAGTTTCCTGTCTGACACAGGAAATATAATAGTGACTTCTTTTCTAAATCCCTTTGAGATTGACTAATACCATCAGGAAAGTACGTGTAGGTGAATTAAAATACTTTGATATGATAAAATACCTAATTGGTATAATCTGTAAAATGCTGTCCAGTTTTTACACAGCAGGGTAACTTGCTATTGTGAGCTGGATTTCTCCTGAAATCTGTGTTTTAGTCTTTCTCTTTTTTTTTTAAATAAGGGTTTGTTTTTCCATTGCTAGCTAGTATCCTATGCTGGCCTTCTTTATACTTTCAAAGTGTAAAGGACCAAGCATTTAAGTGTTGTCCTGGTAATTCCACTTCCACAGTTATTTCACTGCGTCCTCTGAAGTAATACCAGATGATTGTTACAAAAAAGGAGTCAAGAAAGAAGACTGGAAGGTAGAAAGGCAGAGGACGTGAGGCAGAGAGGAAGAAAAAGGAAACAGATAATGTGGGGTTGTGCAGATAATCAATGGGGCTTTGTCCCTGCAAGGCACGGGTTTTGAGCCAGTGTGTGATCACGTCCAGAAGTGGAACAACCAGCCTGAAACCATTGTGCTGGAGGAAGGGGAGGGGAGGGGGGAAGAGAGAGGTGAAAGGGGAAATAACGTTTTTGCTTCCTTCCTGCCTCTGTTTGCTGAAATAGGTGGCTTTTTTTCAAATACCATGCCTGATAAATCACTTGTCGGGAATCAGTTGTATTAGAGAGTAAAGCAGTAGGATTTAATAAAGAGTAGTTTTGAATACAGCACAAAATTGGATAGTAGAAAAAGTGTGTGATAAATGGATTCAGAGTTTCCCTTAACAGCGGAAATGTTGGTTTTCTTGTGGTGCCCTAGCAGTGCATTTCACTTACCTTCTGCTTGACACTGATTTTGATTTGTGATTCTAGAAAGTATTTTGTTTTCCCTTGTTAAAGGTAAGGCTGGTAAGACTGGCTCATGTTTACTTTCTCCGTAAGAAACAGTCCATCCCTAATCCTTCCTGCCAGCTGTGTTACATCTGAACCTTGCCTCACTGCAAGTTACTCACTGCTGGTCAAAACCCTCTGATTTTGATTATGGAGCTTTCTCATTTACAGCCAAATTTCCATGCCCCTGTGGTGGGCCACAAAAGTTCTCTCTTACTATGGAGGATGTATTTTACTGTTGCATATAAAGAGCTAGTTACCCTGCAGTGTGCAGTGTTTAGTATGTAGTGTAGATCAATATGGGTTAATTAATTACTGCTGCAGCTTGAGGCTCCTGGTCTGGACACAAGTTCATGATAAACTAACGGATCACTTGTGTTGTAGGGAGGACAAGGCATGAGGACTACTGAACAAAACAAGTTTTTTGTCAGGCCACTTAACTTCACAAACTCATGGAGAGGAAGGTACAGAAGACATTATCCTTAGGCTCCAGCTCACACTTCAGCTGAAGTAAGCATCTTTCCATGCAACCAAAGATGATGAACAAAGACTTATTTAAGCCCTGATTGGAGCATGCCAGTTCTAGCAGAATTTTGGCCACATCCCAACCAATTTAAATTAGAACAGACTAATTTAATAAGTAGAGCAGCTACTCTATCTTGTATGGGCTGCATTAGCACCCTAAGGGCTGTCAAACTAGCCATATGTAGCACTGACAGCGGGGTACCCTGTCATACTCTGTGCCTCTTGTGCTTGGAATCTGAAGCAAGGAGGCTGGATTGTGACTGGGATGGCTTCATACTGGAGAAATGCTTACCAGGCAAGTAAGTTGTTGTAACCCTTTTGCACTGCCAGCTCTGTGCCTTGTCAGGGATAGGCCCTCTAACCTCATTATTCTGATTTTTGCCTTTCATTTCAGGAGCTGTTTTTTTCAGAGCTAATTACATTGTGGTCTGTCCTTAATAGCTTTTCAGCGGCTTAAATTTTCACACTTGTATCTGAAAATTAAGTAAATGCCAGAGATGGAAAACCATGAATGTATTGCCAGACAATAATGCAGTGCTTCTCTCTGGCGTATTTGCAGTACAGTGGGCGTTTGTTCGTGCAAGCCATTGTTTTTGTTCGGAATCCATGTGGTTGTCATCATTACTGTATCAAGTATAATTTCTGCTCTAGAAAGCAGATTTTTTTTCACTTTTAGGAGAAGAGAGCGGAGAAAGGGACAGAAGTAATAGGAATGGGTCTGAATTCTTATAATCACATACATTATGCTGAGCTCATGGTGCACTTGATATAAATGCAGTGGTGTCTGACTGGAAGTGCAGAGGTTTTCATGGTTTCTACAGAAACTATGCATATTTTCATATTGCAGTAGCTAAATATAATTAATAGCTTCTTAGGATGTTTGCCATAAACAATCTGAATTGTAATTCCCAGTTTTTCACTGAGAAAAGGCTATGGAGTGAGGGGCTTGAGGCTGAGGGTGTCTCCACTGGCACTGGTGAAACAGCCAGAAAAAGCAGGCTGACATCAAAATAAGACAAGGTGCTGCATCTACTTTACGCTGTTCCAGATGAGATGTTTCATTACAAAACAAACTTACTGCCTAGCAGTGCCTTGTGTGCATAGCGGGAATTAAAGCAGTAGTACTTTTTTGAATAATTAATGACATAAACAGCGATTAACTATGCTATGGAGAAGTTTTAGGATAAATAAGTGGTATTGACCCTAACAACCTTGTTCTTGTGTTGGAAGTACTCTGCCACTTTTCTCTGCTGCAAGTGTTGGTGTTGGTAATGCCAGGCGTAGGTGCACTGATGTTGTGAAGACATACACTAAAACACAACTTCATCTTTCTGCACTGTGGTATGCCCCCCTCTCTCTCGTATCCCATGCAGCTCTGAAAGAGTGCTTTTATTTCATCATTCACGCAAAGTTTTGAACGGAAGAGATGCAGATTCTCATTTTTATCATCAGAGTTGTTCAGTGAGGCTTTTGTTTTTCATTTTCTTAGTGCTGTCTTATGTCTCTCAAAATCTGAAGAGGATGAAAAGCTTTTATTTTTTCTTTATCCATAAACGGATAGCTGGAATTGTGACTTTGTACATTTGCCTTGACGTCAGTAGGACTTATGGCAATGTAATTAATCTTCTTGTTCCCGGACACAAGATTGTTGTCCAGAACTTCTTTCTAGCCTTGTCCGTTTGTGAGTACTGGAATGAATACCACAGGTCTGAGTAGGAATGAAAGTTGGTACCTCCTGTGTGTTTTCCAGCTCCCACCAGCTAGGCTGGGTAACATGGCAGTCGTTCAGCTGTGTTCTTCTCTGTCACCATTTGAATGGTTTTTGTTTTATACTAAGGTGCTGCTTTTTCATGTGAAACAGTAAGCAACACTGTAAGACTCCTTGTTTTAAGTTCTCAGTTTCATGCTACGTGGTATGGAGGCATTATGTTGCCTGTAGATGCATGTCTGGAGCTGTAGGAAGGACTTCAAAATATTACCAAATAATGCAGAGTGTGTAATACAGAAATAGGGTTCATTAGTTATTCAGTGACAATTCTGATGCATTTGGTTGATTCTTAATCCTACCAAGAAACAGGACAATATTTTCAACGCTGTTTCCAACAGTGGATGCAAAGGACTCGTGGTGTGAAGGGGTTAAACCTCCATCCTTTGTCTCCTCCTTCCTTAATTTGTGTTCCTTTTTGTGTACTAATGTGTAAGGGAAATTCAGAATACTATTTCTCTGTTTCTGCTCCTCCCCAAACTCTTGGTGTAAGTCTTTGACATGACCTTGTTGTGTTTAAGTTGTTAGCTTCTTCACAGAGGAGGAGGTTTTCTCCAGTGCCTGAAAGCTCAACCATGTTTTATGTAAAGTGATTACAGAATGTGGAGAAGAGTATCTTGGGGAGCTCTTACTAGTTTTATAAAGAACAGTACTTCATGTACTCTTGCTGTGCTTTGTCAGTGGTTTCTGACTGCATTTAAGGTTGTAATAGATGTCTAAATACACTGGAAAGTCTGATACTTTTGTTTTGTGGGTGATGTACTGCTTTCAGTGGTAAAATTTCCATTGATTTTTGTAGAGCCAAAGTTTCCTGCTTGTTCCTTAGCAAAATGAAGATAATATTTTTTGTGCTCAAAAGAAGTTGCGTGAATGTATAAACACTGTCAGAACCTTTTGACTGGAATATAGTTTTGCTGCATATCATGTAGGTGAAGTGATGCTTGCTTTTTGTTCATAGCACTCATAGGGAAGAGGAACAGCTACAGTCAGGGAGAAAATGTAAGCATCTGTACATCTACCTGTCTATTATTTGTAAATAAGATGACTCATAAAGGTCATTTAAATTTTGCATTGGTGGTAAAAGGAATCCTCCCAAAGAACAGGATGACTTGCATTTTCATAAAAATGCAATGCATTCCTTTTTGTTGTAGATGGAGTTAATTTCTCACTGCCACCACATTCATACACTGCACAACAGACATAGGATAATTTAACAGAAATAGGTGCAGTCTTGTTTGGTGGGCTATCTGATGCTGGGTATGAGAGCAGACTGAACGGGGCTCGGATGGACTGCATTTGGACTACATACGGCTGCTTGTGCCATCTGGGATTTCATGTGCTCTGAGTGGGTTCTGCTGGGTT